GAGCTTGGTTTCTGTTATACTTATTATATCTATATTTTTCTTTTTGCAGTATTCGAGCCATAATTGTCTTTTAATATCATTGTTAAGTCCACATATATTGTGTAGAGCTAGGTTAATAGTGTCTGTTTGTATATGGTTATTTATGTTGTGTAAGTTGGTTATGTGTTTGTTTTTTATTTTGTTATTATTTTTTTGTGTTGTCATAATTATGCGAAGATGTCCCAAGTTGGTTCTGAGAGAAGAGAGAGTTCTAGTATGTAGTCTGGGATTTGTGGTATCTCAAAGTGTTGTCAGAGGATTGTTATGGTAGAGTTGATTTCTTTTTGTTGTTTAATTAGTACGTTAATGTAAATTTCGTCAGTGATATTTTCAAGTGCTTCCTGTAGCTGAACTAGGCTTGTTGGTATCATTGGTTTCTTGTCAATTTTGATTTCATGGATTTTGTTGGGTCTGATAGGTATGTTGATCCAGTCTAATAGGATGTGTTCGAAGTAGTATTCTTTTCTCAGAAGTTTCGCTGTTTCTACTAGTATTCTGGATAATGTGATGGGTATTGTAATATTGAATTCTTTGATCTCTGTAGGGTCTAGTGGTAGTCTTGGTTTGTTTGTAGGGTTGGCTATCAGAATTGCCTGGTTTATTGGGAAGTTTATCTTGTATTTTGCTTTTGCTTCATTGAAGAATTCACATGCAATTTTGTCATCAGTAATTGGGTAAGTATATTGGGTGTGTAGTTTTAGTTTGTTTGGGTCCTGTGGTAGGGTAGATTTTTATACAAAGAAATCATTTGTCTCTGCTATATCTCGGATATTTGTTTCTTCGAGTGATGGATCAATAGAGAAGAAGTGCCTAACTCTGTTATTTAATTCATGGTAGATTAGTGGTAGAGGTTCTTTCTCTGGAGGTAGAGCAAAGTAGGTTGGTGGTATTTTTGTGAAGTTGTAGTAGTTGATAAGTTTTCTTTTGTAGAATCGTAGATCTCTTAGTTGTTTTGGATCTGTAATAGGGAAGTATGCTCTAAGTTCTTCTTTTAGTTCTGATGGTTTGTCTGGGAGTTTTGGCAGTTCTTTAAAATATGTGTCTGGTAGATTAGAGAAGTTGAAGATCACTCTAAGAGAGTTGACGATTGCTCTAGTTTGGGACTTGTATTCAATTGGTAATTC